TAAAGCTGAATTTTCTGCATCATTACTCCAGTCTTCAGTGTCACATGATTCTTCAGAAATCATTCTAATATGCTGATTTGCTGCTCAAGAAACATTTCTGATTATTATCAATGTTGAAAAATACTGCATAGTTTTTTTTTGTGGAAAACATGATAGTATTTTTTTTTCAGGGTTCTTTGATGAATAAAAAGTTCAAAAGAACAGCATTTATTCGAAATAGAACTCTTTTGTCAAATTATAAACGTCTTTAAAGCCAATCAATTTAATGCATCCATGCTCAATAAGACATTTGGTAACACTTTACAGTAAGATTCATTAGTTAACATGAAATAAGCATGAACAATACTTCTACAGCATTTATTAATCTTAATTCATGTTAATTTCAACATTTACTAAAGCGTTACTAAAAGTTGTGCTTGTTAACAATAGTTGATGCACTGTGAATGAACATGAACTAACAATGAATAACTGTATTTTTATTAACTAACATTAACAAAGATTAATATATACTGTAACAAATGTATTGTTCATTGTTTGTTCATGTTAGTTAATACATTAACTAAGATTAACTAATGGAACCTTATTGTAGTGTTACCAGAAATGTATTTCTTTCAATAACAACACTTTTTTTTACTGAACCCAAACGTTTGAATGGTAGTGTATATGTAAATTTTTTTATTTTTTTATATGTTTTAGGCTATTGTTTAATTATTATATTAATCATTGATATTTTCAAATAATTTAAATTGTAATTATTTTGTCAATTTATTTCCTAAATATATTTTTAATTTATATTTTTGTGAGGTAACTTTATCATTTGTTTAATAATTGTAAAAAAAAAAAAAAAAAAGTATTACCATTCATTTTCCCACTATGCGATAGATGCAAGAGCTCAGATGGGACGCGTACTCATACTTTTTGGTTTTGCAGATTGAGATTTCTGAGTTTTGGAAGAATATTTTTCGGTCATACCCAAATGTTTTTGGAGAAGATATCAGTCCAGATCTTGAATTCGCTTTGTTTGGATGTTCTGACCCTATATTAGCATTGACACACTCTCAGCAATTGTCTCTTATGTTCGGTATGTTGGTGGATTCAACGGTGATCTTGATGGACTAGAACAGGGCTGCCCAAACTCGGTCCTGGAGGGCCGGTGTCCTGCAGAGTTTAGCTCCAACTTGCCTCAACACACCTGCCTTTAAGTTTCTAGTATGCCTAGTAAGAGCTTGATTAGCTGGTTCAGGTGTGTTTAATTGGGGTTGGAGCTAATCTCTTCAGGACGCCGGCCCTCCAGGACCGAGTTTGGACACCCCTGGACTAGAAGTACACGTTACCACCCAGTTTTCATAAACGGCAGGCTGAAATGCTTGCTGCCCTCAAGCTAGAAAATAATTCGTTTTTTTTCTAAGATTGATGCATCTAAAAAAATTGATAATATCTGGGGCCCCTTCCTTACTTATCTTTTTAAGAGTTGAAATTTGCTTGGGCACTTATGTAATATGGATAACTTCACTCTTGTATTCCTTCACTCCATTTTTAATGTTTTCTTTAAGTCTGATTAAGTATGACTTTGTTTAAGGTGTGTATTTTTCACTGTATCTGGTGCATCGTTTTTGTATTTTTCTTTTGCGTGTTTATTTTATGTATAGCAAACTTTTTGTATACATTTTGTGAGATTTTGATTTGTTTTGTATTTGTAGAAAAACTGTTATAAATATAATATTTAAAAAACAACTAAGTATATTGAAATGATAAATAAATGCATCTGATCTGAAATGATATGCACTGATCACACTCACCCCAGTACTAGAGATGTGCTGCTCAGCAATACCAAGGAACGACTGAAGAGGAGTTCTAGATCCTGAAAGCACAGAGAGGCCAGGAGTGAGTAGATGGTGGCAGCACAGAAAGGGAAATGCATTTCAAAAACTGTCTCAGATTGTATATTTATTAGTTAAACTGACTGTCAGCATATTTTTCCTGTCTGTATGGGTTTATGTACCTTTACTCCTAGATTTGTCCTGGTCAGAAAGGTGCTCAGTCCGAGAACGTGTCACTAACTCCACATTACTGGCACTGTAAACCTACAATTATGTAATTATAAAAAAAACAATTAGGGAGCTCATTTTGTCCAGGCACACAGGTGTTTTCAGCCAGGCTCAGACCTAAATGCCTTTTAAAGTGGACCTACCTTTGCTTCATATCCACTGACAAACTCCGTCTTCTCGGAGCGCCATCCCCAAATCCCAGACTTATTTCTGGAGTCAGGCAGAACAGGGAATTAAATGTACAACAGCTGGTTCCAGAAATAAAAACTCACAAAACTCACTCCATAGAAATGTGATTTTTAACAATAACTAATAAACCTTTATTTCATGCAACTTTTAATAGTCATGCAAGGGGCGTAGTTATCCTGATTCATAGGTCATTGCCATTTCAAGTTACAAAAAACATTCAGGACCCTTCTGGAAGATGTATTATTGTTCAGGGGAGTATTTTGACACAAAAGCTGAACTTTATAAATATTTATGGTCCAAACGATGACAGCCCACTATTTTTTGAGAAATTATTTTTAACCGTGTCTTCTTTGGAGAGATTTAATATTATTGGAGGAGATTTTAACTGTACCCTCGATCCTGTATTGGACAGATCCACCCAAATTGATGCAACTCATATACAAACTAGAAAAACAATAATTGATTATATGAAGGATTTAAGATTAATTGAAGTTTGGAGAATGCTAAACCCAAATAGAAGAGAATATTCCTGTTACTCAAGTTCCTATAAAACTCACTCACGCATCGACTATTTTATCATCTCGATGGAACTGTTGTCTAATGTGAAAAAATGCAGGTATAATAGTATAGTAATTAGTGATCATGCAGCAGTATCTATGGAGATTCATTTGGGTAGATTTCAGCACTGTCCTAGATGGAGGTTGCAAACGTATTTGTTACAAGACCCAGCATTTATTACATTTATGGAGAATTGTATTGATAAATATTTTGAACTAAATACGAATGAAACTACAGCCAGTATTAGATGGGAAGCATTTAAGGCTTACATAAGAGGAGAGATTATTAGTTATACAAGTGCTAAAGCCAAAAAACATAATCAGGAATTACAAATATTAGAGGATCAAATTAAAAAAGTTGAAATTGAAAGTAATATTGATAATAATCCTGAAAAATTACATAACCTGTCTGTCATGAGAGCTAACTATGATAAATTAACATCTGATAAAGTGGCAAAAAGCTTAATGTGGACTAAACAAACATATTATGATCAGGGGGAAAAAGCAGGTAAGCTATTGGCCTGGAGGATAAAGAAAATGCAATCTGAAAGAACAATTAACTCTATAAAGCTGAAATCTGGTAATTTAACTATAGACCCAATAGAGATAAATAATCATTTTAGAGATTTCTATCAACAGTTATACAAATCAGAATATAAAGCAAATAATAAAACAGTTCAGAAATCGTTTCTTGACCAGCTGCAATTTCAGACTATATCAGAGGATGAGAAAATGGTATTAGACGGCCCCTTAACAATAGGAGATATTAGTGAAGCTATAGAGGATATTAACAGCGGTAAAGCACCAGGCCCAGATGGGCTTCCAATAGAGTTTTACAGAACATTTAAAAGACAGCTTTTAAGACCATTACTTGACATGTATGAGGAATCATTAATTACTGGAAAGCTCCCAGATTCATTAAGACTAGCTATAATAACTTTAATATTAAAACCAAATAAGCCTCCAACTGAATGCTCGTCATACAGACCTATTAGTTTAATGGGATGTGATACAAAAATACTTTGTAAAGCACTTGCTAGAAGATTAGACAAATATCTTCCCCAATTAATTATTGATGATCAACAAGGCTTTGTACAAAAAAGACAAGGTTATCATAACATCAGAAGGGTCTTGAATATATTACATGAGAGACATAATGAAAAAGACACCGTAATGTTATCAGTAGATGCGTGCCAAGCATTCGATAGGATAGAATGGGACTATCTCTTTGATGTTCTTTCAAGATTTGGATTAGGCAAAACTTTTCTTAAATGGACTCGGCTATTATACACGGACCCGGCTGTTGAGGTACTAACTAATAAACTCTCGGAAATTTAGAAGGTAAGGGTCACGTATCTGTGTACTATAATTTAATGGTGAAATACAGTACTGAATCAACATTGGACAAATTAAATGCCTGGAAAATGGATATACAGGAAGAAATAGATGAGGAAGACTGGAACTATGCTTGTCTTAAAAGCACAAACGCAGACAATAAATACAAGGTTTAAATTACTTCAATATAAATGGTTAATGAGAACCTATATAACACCTGTCAAACTTCATCAAATGTCTACTAATATTCCAGATATATGTTCTAAATGCTTGGACGATAAAGGTACACTATATCATTGCTTCTGGGAATGTCCAAAGATACAAAACTTTTGGAAGGAGGTTATAAAATGTTTGTCAGACATGTTTAATATTGCAATTCCTTTGAATGTAAAACTTTGTATTCTTGGAATATATCCAATGGACGTTATACAAACATCAAGGCAGATTAAACTTGTAGACTTTGGTCTCCTTCAAGCCAGAAGAGTTATTGCATTAGGCTGGAAGAGTATGGATGCTCCATCTATGAAAATGTGGACAAAGGAGTTATCGAACTGTATCGGACTGGAAAGGCTAACTTACATTGCTAAGGGTAGACGGAAAGACTTTGATCAGCTATGGGAGCCATACACAAATATCATGTAAAATGGAAATGTAGACCTTACTGAAAATCGAACTGTATCGGACTGGAAAGGCTAACTTACATTGCTAAGGGCAGACGGAAAGACTTTGATCAGCTATGGGAGCCATACATAAATATCATGTAAAATGGAAATGTAGACCTATTAGAAATATTTACTTATTAATTTATTTTATTTTATTATTATTATTATTTATGCATTTCTTTAAAGAAAAAAAAAGTGTTCATTGAACGTGTAAGTGAAGGGGTGTATGCTTGTGTACTTGTGTACTTGTTCTGGTGTTCCATAGGCTATTTTGTTACTATATGCCTAGCTGATGTGTGTTTATAAAATAAGAAAAGGACAATAAACATATTGGAAAAAACAAACAAACTAATAAACCTTTAAAGAAAGACCTACTGTGAGCTACGAAGTTGTTAAATTGATGATATATGATTCTGTTGAAGCTATCCTTTGACATTATTTCAACTTATTATTTTTCAATCATCAATATGATGCGATATGAGTCGCTGTGAATAAATACAGCCAAAAGAGCTTTCAGGGAACACCAACTCCCATGAAGCACCATAAATTATGTAATTGAGTCACTCTCGCCATGCTGTCAAAATACTGAAATATTTGTATACATATACACAAGAAGTTTCCATGTTAGTGTAGTGTAATCTCAAATTAACCTGCACCTAGAATGGAAAATATGAACAAAACAAATACTGATTGATCAGTTTACATGTGCTTTGCTCTTGACTAATATGAGTTGTAGTCAAGCGGCAACCTCCCGGTCTCTTTCGTGAAACCAACAAGGAAGTGACTAAAACTGCAATTCATCGACTGGCCGCTAGAGGCTGGCTGCAAAAGGGAGTCAATCCCATAGACTCCCCATGTTAAAATGCCCAACTTTACAGCAGAAAAAAATATGTTTACAGCCTGGTACAAAAAGTGGTTTTGGTCTATATAGCTAATTTTGCCCTTCATGACAACTGTGAGGGGGGTGAATTTTTTTTTAAACTCATCCGTTTAAATTATATTAAGCCTTAAAGTTCTACACAATTAAGGGCGCGGCCACTTGAGTGACAGGTGGATTGCCGCTGCTGTCCAGAGCCGTTTCTCAACGGCTCTGCTGCTGTCACCACCGTCGAGCTAGGTGGGCGTGGTTTCAGCAACCAGCTCCCGCCTCTTTGCCCATTTTCGACTTTAGGCTTCAAAAACGCTCTTCGGAAACCTACGGCTGACGTCACGGACACTACGTCCATGTTTTTATACAGTCTATGATTTTGTGGACAAGGATTCAATTAGAACTACAAACACGCATTAAAATTGTTTAAAAAACTACAAACATGGCGGATATACGCAACCAACGGACAGGTAGATAAACGGATTTGAGTGATAAATAATCAATGTCTACTCTAACCTGATGAAAAAATATAAATTTAATGTTATCCACGTTATATTTCATCTGCAGCAACACTGTGAACTTAAGATGATTGACAGGGTAGTTTAAACAGAGACAGAATACACGTAACTAAGCAACAGAGCGTTCGTTAAAGAAGCAGCTATGACGAAGTAGTATGTCCCAAAGCTTGCCTACTATTCTTCTACATACTATTATTAAATTAAGTAATCTGAACAATGTCAGTCTACATTAATCGACACATTCTTTGGAAATAGTAGGTTCGCCGCGAATTATCAGAACTACTTCAGTAAGACAGTAATATCGTGCTTTCCACGTTATAAACTGCAAAAGAGATATTTTTCAAAAACCCATATGACCTGCTCTTTAATTTGTAGTTCTTTCCCTCATTAAAGCCGTTAAGTACACAGTCTTGTACGTTTGACTTTTTGTCAGGTTTTCAAAAGCTTTTTTGCTTCACATAAATATTTGTAATGTTGTGATTCTCCTCGTAGCTGGTTGGTTTGTTTCGGTTCATGGCTTATATCGCTTTAACAAAGACTTTTAAAAAATCCCTATGGGAAAAATTAATGGAAAAAATACCTCCGGAACCAGCGCCACTGAAAAAGAAGCCATGCACTAAAGCACTTCTTACAGACTCAGACTAATTAAATCTGTGGTAAAGCCTGTACCTCTCAAAGGCAATGTTGCGTGTGTTGAGATGAGTGGACACTATAGGAGAGGTGAGTCTCTGGGCCGTGTTCTCCTGCGAGGGCAGCATGGCGGCGAGCAGAGAGGGAGCGTCCCGCGGAGACAGAGACAGCGGTTCTGTATACACCACCTGCTTCTCGTGGTCTACCTCCATCACCATGGCCCCGCTCTCTGCGAAACACACAAGACACCTCAAAGCACTGAACTCTGCATGAGAACCCTGCATGAATGCGTGCTGAAAACTCACCTCCACCTTTAAAGATGTAGCTGCGTCGGCCCTTAAGCCAAGTCATGTGCTCAAAGCCCAATAAAGTGGTGTCGACTCTCAAACACGAACCGCTTTTCCATACACGATACACGTCGCTCGGACAAACTTTTGACACTAGAGGAACTGAGTAATTGAGACAGAATGACAACTGACTGTCAGGAGCAATTGATCAGAGGAGCTGTCCACGTCTGTGGTGCTGAAACGGTTAAAGCTGCCATCTAGGTTGGCAATAGTGGGTTGGTTGGATATAAATTATTGCCACATCAGCCTCACAGGGTATTAAATGGCAGAAACAGATTCATCATTCAATAATCAATAAATAAACACAATAAAATTCACCAATGGTGAGACAGAAGTTAAAGCAAAAGAGTTTGTTGGTCTTTAAAAACTCTTTTGCTCTCAAACTCACCCCAGCTAGTAAATTCCCATTTCATCTCCACGTAGAAATCGTGTGCCTGCAAGAAAGACAACACGTTGGAATGCTTTCTGAGAGAGGATGGCAAATCAAACCAATACTGTACTTGATAAGTTGATAAAAAAAAGGATTATGGATTTACCCAATGAATGAACATCAAATGCATCTTCAGTCAGGGTGTATTTGTGCATAAGGATCACCTGTCTCAGTTTGCTCAGTAGCTCAGGAATACCAGCCAGTCTCTCTGTGGCTCTTCTGAAGTCTCTGTACTGAAGGACCAGCTGCACAAGCTCAGGGTCTCCAGTGCTCACTGCCTCCTGCAAAACTGCACACAGAATTCAACACTGCCATGACCACCGCCGTGCACCAATGCGGTATACTGAAGATGCACAAGGTCTTAAAAGACAATGAAAATGATACACTTAATTACTGATAATGACCTTCTTTGTGTGATTCCAGACCTGTGTGGTTTTCTCTCTTTTTTTCTCTGAAGAATATAAACAGAGATATTCTCCAGAATCCCATGGCAACTCTTTTCCATATAATGAAAGAGAATAGGGACTGGGGATGTCAATCTCCAAAAAATGAAAACAACATAGAAGTATCAGCTTGTATGGTATATTCCAAGATATACCACAGTAGCTATGTTTACATGCACCCAAATAATCCAATAATAATGCGTAATTGGACTGATGTCTCAACTGGACTAAAAGGTCTTGACGTAAACACTGCAAAAAATCTGATGGAGCTCGATTCAAATTAAATTTTGATCAGATTGAAAGGGGTGGTGTAGCCCTGAAATAATATAATAAAGAGGGAAAAATTAAGCAAATAAATGCTTGAATACAACTATTTTCTCAATCGGATTCAAAAATACCTTGTGCACATGTGCAGTGTTGTAATGTGTATGTTTACCAGAGCCTTTTTAAAAGTAGTTATTGACTGAAATCTTGTATTCTGCTGTATTTTCAGTGAATACCTCACATCTCAGTCTGCACCTCACACAAAGTTATAGTATGGCTTTTCAAGTCATATGGACTACTTTTATGGTCCTTTTATCATTTTCAAAGCTTAAACCTTATATTATGTTGCAGGTTAATTTGATCCATTTCAGTTGTTTTAGCTGTTGGAAATAGTGGTTAACAAAACTACTGTGTTTTTAATGACATTTTGTGACTTTTATCATTTAGGGTCATGAAAATGCCTGCAAAGATGTATTGTTCAATGTGTGTACAAAATTGTACAATGTATGTACTACTATTAGACATTTCTTCTTACTATTATGTTTGTGAGTAAAGCTGTGAGTGTGTATATATATATATATATACACACACACACAACCGTTCAAAAGTTTGGGATCAGTACGATTTTTTATGTTTTTGTTTTTAAAGAAGTTTCTTATGCTCAAGGCTGCATTTATTTGATCAAAAATACAGTAAAAACAGTAATATTATGAAATAGTATTACAATTCAAAATAACAGTTGTCTACTTTAATATACTTTAAAATATAATTTATTCCTGTGGTGGCAAAGCTGTGATATATACTCATGTTTATTTTTGTTTGTTTGTTTGTAGTTGCACTCCACTTAGCTTCTGAACATCATAAAAGCCCAGTCTCGGATTACTTTCACTGATGGAGAAGTCCACACTTCTTTTGTGCTCCACTGAGTAAAGTCACACAGATTTTGGAAATGCACGGGTAAGTGATGCCAAGCTTGATCTGTGGGTGAAGTATCCCTTTAAATGACTCGTGTACCTGTCCATCCCTGTGTGTTGCTGTGCGTCGGATCCGCGTTGTGTCTCAGTAAGAAGCGCGTGGACTCCAGGTGCCCGAGCCACACGGA